AAAAAAAAAAAAAAAAGAATCAAAGAAAAGCGAAGAGGTTAACAGTGACTACTTTCTAATTCTACAGCATGAATAGCATATGTGCAATCAGGAGAGGGTGTAGACGCAGGATTAATCGACAGACTAGCAAACAGGGCCCTTGGGGAAAGTTGGGATCCCGTAAAACATAAGGTGGAGAGATGACTAAATATAAATCCTCAGTTTTCAAAGAATACTGTGTGACTGGCAAACACCACCAAATGTCTGAAATGGGGTAAAGCTACTGCACACTTTGCTGAAACAGGTGCAGGCGATCAGAGTAAAGGGTGAAGCCTTGATGAAGGGCACCCCCAAAGCTGCCAAAGCCAGCAGGGACCCTCAATGCATCCAGTTCAAAAGACCAACCTAAGTCAAAAGGACATTCCAAACATTTTGAAAGTTGACAACAGTGACCTTAAAGAGCCTCAAAAGTGGCCAGAAGTTGGCAAAGGCTGGAGAGGACACAGGCATTGCAGGGAAAAAGCATTTCCAGGATTTGTGCCAGGGACACTCGCAGGGTGTTTACCCTTTGACAGTGGGGGTATGAGGACTCTCTAGACGCTTCAGCTCTAGTGAGACAAATTGGTAAAGGAAATTCCTTGGGTGAGAATATACTAACAATTCACAACATTTCTTTTGCATCCTGGGTCCATTTGCTCCAGTGAGGCAATATGCCTTTCCCAAACTTTTGAACAAAGCTCATGACAGAGACAGAACATTACTAAACCTGGGTCAAGCAGGGCCTACAGGGAGAATGGAGCATGCCTCCCAGTTTTTAAACCAAGGAGATTCAATTGCTTCTGGTTCTTGTTATCTTTTAAGGGTTTTTTTTTTTCCATCCTGAAGGAAGGATCTCACTCTAGGCTACTGCTTTCATATATCCCAGGGCTTAATGGGTCCTCCTTGGATGAGGCCACTGGTTCTTGGTCTTAGAATGGCCTAACTGGCTCCTGGAGGCGTTGTACATATTATCTGAAGGATCCTTGGTTGGAAGGGATTTTACAACCTTGAGCCAATCACTCATTTTCTTGGCACACTGGTATGTCCATCTAAAAAGTGAGGACAGTCATGCTTTCTCTCTGCATCACAAGGATGCTGGACAGATAAAGACAAGTACACATAGCAGAGCACTTTATACTCATTAAAACAACAACAACAAAAACAGTCCTCTGAATTACAGTTACTAGAAAGAATGATTAAATCTTTAAACCCAAATGACTGCCCAACAATCAACTTTTAAAGTCCATAAACAGATCAATTTCAGCCAAATTTTACTTCTAGCTTGATGTCTCCTTGGGGGCTGCTCGCTTTCCAGTTGGGCAGACTGAGGAAAAGCAGAGGTATGTTGATCCAATCCTCACCATTAGGAAACTTGATAAACAAAAACTAAGAAAAACATGATTTTTTTAATTATGTCTATTCCTTCTTTTTGCCTCCAAATGCAGACAATCAAGACTTGATTAACCTTGATATAACTTCTGATAGCTTCAGACTAGTCCTAAGAATCTGGTACCAACAGTTCAGTTTACAACCATTACTAAGCATGAGCTATACGCCAGGCAAGACGTGAGGCTCTGCCCAAGTACAAACATGACTAGAGGTGGTCTCTGTGCTCTCCTGGCCCTCGCAGCCCATCAGGAAAGCAAGACACAAAGAGCTAGCTACATACACAACCCAGACTGCCTTGTGTGCTCAAATCATCATCGATTCTAACTGAGGACAGTGGAGCTGGGCAAACGTCATCTGAGTTGGGACTTGCAGGTGGAGTAGGATTATGAAAGGCAAGGAAGTGAGGCACAGAAGGGGAGGGCAGAAGAAACGTGAGTGATCAAGGACTTGGAGGCACGTCTGCGGAGCAGGACATGGCTCTGGGTGGCTGAAGTATAGTGTGGCTGGGGGACAGTGGAGGGAAGAGCTGGCTGGGTTTACTTTCCTAGGGGCCTTCAACGCCATGCTGAGAAGTTGTTGATGCAACAAAAGGCAAATGAGTCAGACTGAAACATTAAAAATCAGAATTCAAACAAATTCAGAGACTTAACAGGCTCATGCCATCTCCTACATCTCTTGGGCACAAGGATTTATAATCCCTGTGAATGTGCATTTATACAAGACTCAAAAACGTCTGGGCCACAAACCTGGCAGCCAGTTTCACATTTTGCTTTCTCTGGAGGGAATAATCCGTTAGCAGAAGGCAAGTCTGGAAGCAGCAGTCCGTCCTATATTCTAAAAAGGAGTTCCGATCTTTACACCTTAGGACACTTTGGGGACAGAAGCCAGAGAACAGGAAGGAACTGCAATGTGCACAACATTTTGAAAATGAATGAAGAGTTCTCACAGGCTGTAACATTTCAACCCGGGGAGGACAGAACAAGAGAGCTTGGAGGGCTTTCAGGCACACCCAGATACCAAGCTAGGCTTTCCTCTTGCAATTGGATGGGCAAAAGGCACCTCCGAGGAACTGGGGCAGAAGAGCCACTCTTTTGCGGCCTGGTATCACATGACTCACCGTGAGCCAGGCCGTGGATGCCAGCTACCAGGTGTTCACCACTCGTGGCCGCGTGGTATCTGATGTACTCCCGCTCCGACTGATGGCGATTGTCCATCGTCTTCCCTAAGCCATCTGACAACGTCCCCGCAAACTGGAATGAATACAAAACAGAAGGAAAAGACTTTTTACTGTTTTAATTATTTTAAATAAATACCTCCCCTTGCTCTTAGCCGGGAGTCAGTAAATACTGAATGAGAGAGAGATTAATTGCTGAATTACATACACTGTGTGTCCCGGGAGAGTGGTTTTCAAGCACTGGACACAAAACGAATTGTGGGACATTTACACAGGTGGACACAAGGCTTGCAAACAACTGCTAAAAGTCCATAATGACATTTACCTTTCACAGCCCAATTGCAAACGTACTGAAAAATTAAAGGTATAACAAAATGGCCTCAGGGAGGAAAGGTGACCTTTGGGATTCTGTAACGGTAAAGGACAGAGGCTCTTTGCCTTAAGAATCAGTGGGATTCAAAATAGAAATGTGGCCAACTGTTGCTTCAGGATTTGGCATCCACATTTTGAGATGCCTTTTCTTTCACTTATTCAACAGTTACCAAGTGCCTAGGTGCCCAGCTCCATTTGTCAAAAGAAAAACAACGTCTATGGAAAGGTTAACAGGTTAGGTTACCTTCCATACAAAGTGGCAGACTTGAACGCATGACTTCAAATGCAAAATCCTCCCCCACCAATCAGAGAGAGATTTTATTTATCCTGGCATACTTTAACCAGAGAAGCTGTCTCATCCATCAAAGCTGGATAAAAAGGACATAAAACTCTGTTTTGTCACAAGACAATTTGAAAAGGTTTAAAGTGACAGTTAATAAACCACAGGGTACTTACCCTCATCATTCAGACATAAAAAGGGAAGGATATCAAATATGTAATTAACCTTCTTGAGAAGGATCTACCAAAACAAGTGGTTTAAGTGCCAATGACCCAGGACTAACCTTTTAGAAAACTCACAGGAATGTTATTTAGATACAAAGCTCAGAGGAACGACTCGACGCAAACAGCCTGCGGTGAGGACCCGGTACACTGGCAGCCTGGCCATCACAAGGCTGTTTCATTCTGCTTTGGCAAGGAGGGGTACACAGATCTGCCCTGAAAGCCATCAGTCCTGAGGCTTCTGACATGAGAGACGAGGGAAGGTGAGAGTTCTGGGCACAGAAGAGAGACTAGGGGAAGAAACAGCATTTCCATGTAAAGCAACGGTTCCTGGAGCAAGACTTGGGAGCTCTCATTCCTTTCCCTCTGACCAAAAGCTTTTATGATCTCAGGCAGTGATCACGGACCTTTCTGGAGATGGAATCCTTATCATTACTTGCTTTTTTGCCTAACCTTCCCTGTCACTCCCTGTTTAATTAGAGAACTGAAGTTAATGAAAAGTGATTTTACACTTTCCTTTAGGATGGAGACACCAAGGGATTCTGTACTAAGTGGGGGATCCCACTTGAGAGCCCCTGCGGGCCACGAGCTCAGGGGTCTGGCCAAACCAGATACTAGTCTCAACCATTCCGGTGGCCACGTGACCCTGAGCCAGGTGCCCGACCGCAGCACCTCCCTCTCGGCATCTGGAGAATGGAGATGGTCCTGACACTGCCATGTGGCTAAAAGAATCAGTGACAGCGGCTCAGGGCAGGAATCTAGTTAGCATTCTTACTGTTATTATTAGTCAGCTACTAGTCCAAGGAGGAACATCCTGCACCATTTGAAGAAAGTCTTTCAAAGGTTTAGATTTATGGTCATTTGCACTAGGCTTTAACACAAACAAAACAAAACAAAACAAAACAAAACAAAAAACCCTCTCTTTCCAGCAGATAAACACCAGCCTCCAAAGTGAATTTCTGGAGTGGTACCATTTATAAAATTAGAGTGTTGGACTTGGTGGTTTCCAAAATCCTTTCCAGCTCTGACAGTTTGTGATCTATGATCCAAGTTAGAATGTCTTTATTAAGCACTTACTCTGGGCCCAGCACAGATTTAGGTACTGCTGAGGATACAAATGAATAGCAGCCTTGGACCTACTCTCAAAAATGACAGTCTCGGGCTTCCCTGGTGGCGCAGTGCTTGAGAGTCCGCCTGCCGATGCAGGAGACGCGGGGTCGTGCCCCGTTTCGGGAAGATCCCACATGCCGCGGAGCGGCTGGGCCCGTGAGCCATGGCCACTGAGCCTGCGCGTCCGGAGCCCGTGCTCCGCAAATGGGAGAGGCCACAACAGTGGGAGGCCCGCGTAACGCAAGGAAAAAAAAAAAAAAAAAAAAAAAAAAAAAAAATGACAGTCTCGTTAGGAAGATAACAATTCCATACATGAAACAGCTACAAGAACCTGGAACACAAAGTGCACACGCACTTGGGAATCAAGTGAAGAGAGAAAAATGTGACCCTTGTTTTGGAAAGGGCTCCTGCTTTGTTCTGGAATTACGTAGGCTGCCAGTGGCCCTCATTTAGGGTGTGGACAAAAATGCCTCCCCCGGATATTACAGAAAAGGTGAGAGGGCGGTTCAACTCTTACCTTCCTGGAGAAGAGAGATCTCCCTGGAAGGGATATTAAATTAACGTCCTGTTTACCTGGCAGCCAACTAGGAAGAAGTTAAAAACCTCCTAATACTTTTCCCCCCAAGAGAATATGGGGGAATAATCCAGGCAAACTCCCCAGTACCAACCCCTTTCCTATAACTGACCCCCGTCTAGCAATAAAACAAGTTTAATATCCAAGGTCTATGAGGGAGCCTATGACGAAGCTCAGCTGCCAGTTGATTCTGTTGCAGCGGCCCTGGCACCCCAGCACCAACTGGTCTTGGGTGTTTTCTGTACGAAAACACCATATTGACCTCAGGAGGATGGGATAAGATGACCTAAGAGATCACTCGTCCCTCTAAATGCTGGATTCTTCCATGTGCTTCTCATGGGCCTCACCACTGCCGTGGAAAGGTGCCCACACCTACTCTGCCTACTCTAGGGATTCCATTTGAATTACCACCTCTCTATCTACTAAAACATTACTGTGTAAGCCAACTGGGCTTGTCCTTTGTCACTTGTGGGTGGAAGTAAAGGGTACAAAGATATTGTATTAACAGAAAATGACTACAAAAGTCTTCACCCCTAGAAATGTGACGTTGAGAACTCAGAAAACTTGCAATGATGTAGAAAATTCATGATCCGACCAAACCCATACTGATGAGAGGTTAATAAGATTTTACAGGGAGAGACATTTTATAGGAACTAAACCGAAGCCAGCCAGTTGAAGGGTCAGAGGCTGGGCTTCAGGCCAGTCCACTGGGCTTCTGAGTATTGAATCCAGGGCACCACAAAGCTTGTGGCCTTCTCTCACTGTGGGAGCACTGAGTCATCCTTAATTCCATCTCTCATTCCCCACCTCAGTGGGAAAGTAAATCACACCCCGTATCTTATTTCTCCCTCAAAGGGTGAGAACACGTGGGCTGTAGGGGGAGGTGATTCCAGTAAGCACTCTTTATGGGTGCCCTCTGGAACTGGTCTTCCCTGAGGCTGGAAGCGTTGTTTCACACAGGTCCTTGACTTTGAAAATGATCATCCAAACAGAGCAGAGATTCCCATGAGAGCTACAACATCATGTGGGAGTCGCTGGTGCAGGACAGGCTTCACCACCCACCCCAGCTCTGCCTCTGCATTTTAAAAAGAAAAGCCATATGCATTGAAAATCGAGCTCAGGCTGAAACTTTTTCATAGCAGATGCTCCAAATGGGAAATGAAGCCTGGGGGCAGATACTCAAACAAAGGAAAACCAATCCCAGAGGCACTGGAGGGAAAGCTGAAAATCATCAGGATACAAGCAAGTCCAATCCAGCTCTGCACCCAAACAACTAATCAGTCAAACACGTACGGAACCCTACTGCGCCCCAGGCCTGTGAAGGAGAAGCATAAATCACAAGTTGTTTCTGCCTCTCTCCTCCAAGAAGATAGGTAAGTGGCATAAGGGAAAGGCATTCACACGTGAGTTCGAATTCTGACTGTGACATTTAATAGCTGCGAGATCATGGACAAGTAACTTCGCCTCTGTGAGCCTCTGTTTCCCCATCTTCAAATGGGAATAAGAATAGCCATCTACAAGGATGCCATAAGGATTAGATAAAACGTGCAAAGCACTTAGCACAGAGCCTAATACACGAAGCACTCAAGAAAAACAGTATTGAGTTATCCAAACTTCAATTTCTTCATACGCAAAATGGGTACAATCGGACTCTGCAGGGCTGTTGTGAGGATTAAATGAGGCAGTGAGCACACAAAGCATCGGGCAGGTGTGTCCCCGGTACAGCGGAAGCTGTCGGGGAGGGAAGCACCAGAGCAGACAGCATGAGCTAGCAATGCTGGAGGGTGATCTGTAGCTAACTCGTAACTCCACTCAGTGTAAGCTACACCTCAACACCAGAAGGAGCATTTACAGGGACTTAGGTCAGTATAGCTCACTTGGTAGCCATTTCAAGTCCACAAAAAACTTAAGGCTGCAAGTGAATACTGTCCTAGCTAAAATGAAAGGTTCTGAAGGAACAGGATGTCCTTCAGAAAACCTGCTATTACCCTTGCAAAAACAACAGTGACTTCCCCGCTTCTTTCACTGAAGGACGCTTTAGCACATGCCACACTTGTGAATTCTGGCCACAGCCAGAAGTCATTAATTTCTATAAAGCCGTACTTTCAGCAAAGGGGGTAAAGATCCCAGAGGTACTTCAAGATGCCCGTTCTACTGCGCAGCTGACACACACGATGTGCCAATACCCCACCTTCCAAAAATAACCCCCCTGTCTACAGAAATGGAGCCACTACAAATTAGCCTGGGTTTGGAGCCGGGCTCAGAACAGCTGATTTTATAAAACTGAAATTCAAGTAGATGCTGGAATGATGCAAGAGAAAAAATTTACACTGTGTCCCTCTGTTTCGTCCTATCAGTTTTCCTGACCCTTTTAGGAGATTCAGCAAGCATGGGATGCCAAAGATATTTGGCCAGTGTAACAGAAGCCTGGGCTTGAATTTCTCCCCCTGCTCTGGGGTTCTTCTTTCACAGTTATTTACCTAATGGAAATTTCCTCTTTAGTATCCTTGCTCCACTGA